CCGCCCGACCGGCCCCCGCCCCCGGCCGCCCCATGGGCCCGCCCGCCGGGGCCCCGCCCCCCGGCCCCGCATTGCGCCAACGGCGCAGCGCTGGGCCCCGACCCCGGCACCGACTGCGTCTCCGAGGGTTCGCGCCGCGGGCGCAAAGTTTAGGGTCAGCCACAAACGCGCGGCCGATTTGAGCCTGGGGTAAGAGGAGGTGGCGTAGAACGGCGTTGTGAATCGCCAGTGGAAGTTTGGTTGAAGCACAGGAGCGTAAATAAGAAGGTTTCCAGACAAAGAGACTCTTAAAGGTACAGAGTCTTAGGTCTGTCCCTCCTCCTTAAAGGGCCAGACTCTCCTAAGCCCATCTCCGCCCACTTCTCCCCAGCCTTCGTCCCGGGAACAGTAAAGGAATTACTTTACAGTTCTCCCGTATTCTTTTTGGCTCACCTTTAACTTCTCTATCCACTGAGAAGGAGCAAAACTTGTTTCGTTATCCCACCTGTATATTAGTTTCTTGTTCTTTTAATACTTTTATTTCTAACGGTGCCTTTCGCTTGAAGAAGCGAATCCTGGGGCTTCCAGAAGCAGCGTTTGGGAAAGTTACTACTGGTTCCCAGATGGGCAAGCAGGAGTCTGACTTTTGCTACTAATGATGACCCAGGAGGAATTCAGCTGTTTTATGGAAATCCCAAAGAAGAAGATCGCTGCTGTGAACCCGAGTTGTTCAGCAAATCCTGGAGTTTGGGAAATAAACTAGCCTTAAGTTGGCAGTGACCGTGAGGACTTCTAGAGGAATGGTATGGAAACCATCAGGAAACCCAAAATAAGACCGTACGGTACAACACCCAGCACACGGCTATGCAGGTAAAAACTTAGATTTAATATGAGGACGAGTAAAAGAAAGGAACATGTCCATCATCAGCTATCATGGCCCACGGCGTGTACACACGTGTGAATAAAATAGGGAAGCACAAAAGCCAAAGAAATATAACCATATATAAAATTTCTTTTTGAGAGGGAACTACAAGGCCTGGGGCCAAGCACAGTTAACTGTTAAAGGATTCTAAGGGCCATGAAATGTGTATTTTTTCAGTTTTTGACTTAGGACGTGCACTCTCACTGGAGAGAGAGCAATCCCTTCTCCATTCTCCTCCTGGGATCCTGTGCACATAGGCACAGGCACCAGGCACCACTTTCAAGCCACTGGGCCTGGGACTTGAACCTTAGTCCGCCAATGTGGGAGTCCCGTGATGTAACCACTATGCACTCTGCTGCCCACAAATGCGGATTCCCCCCACCTCCACGTGACTGTTTTTAAGACACTTGACAGAAGGAAAGGACACAGAGTTGCTTGATTTGGTCAGAATTTGTCATGTGGAAAAGCTTCATGAGATCTAATATTTAGCACTCCCTTTCTTGTCTACTGCCTTTAACATATTTCTCTTCCAGGCCAGCAGGTTGTGTGGAGGTTAAGACGCTGGAGCTGAACTCTGGCATGGCCGGCTGTGATTTAAGTCTTCAACCCAGTGGCTTGAAAATCACACTTGGGCAAATGTGCATGCATGCCCACAATCCCAAGAGGAGACTGGAGAAGAGGGGGGTGATTTCTCACTTTCTCTGTCAAGTGTACACGCCTTATGGCCAAAACCTTTTAAAAAAAAAAATACACCTATTTCTCTTCAAGGAATTCTTTCATTGTAAGTCCTTAATCATCTGTCTTTTGCCCTTACTCTTCAGTCCTCAAAAAGTCTTGGAAAGACTATGTATCTTATTCAGTATTAGTTCTCTAAAAGGTGCTTATGTTGAGTGAAGCTTTAAGGAAGCCACTTGGAACTTCTGATGGAAGGGATGTGCTCAGAGTAGCAATCCAGGAAGGAACGAGTCTCAGTGCTGAGAGCATGTATTAGATCAGTGATTCTTCCAAAGTGTGGCCTGAGAAGCGCTAGCAATTCCCGAGACCCTTTGATCTCTGAGATCAAAACTATTTTCATAAGACATTATCTGCCTTTGTCAGTTTGATGACATTTGCAGTAATGATACAAAAGTAAGAGGCATGGTAGTTAAGGGCGCTGGACTCCCACATGGCCAGCCGCAGTTTGAGTCCCGGACTTGGCAGCTAGCTTTCTCACTTTCTCTTTCTCTGGTCAAATTAAAGTAAATAAACAGAGTTAAAATAATTGTTAAAAAAAAAAAAAAAAGAAGTACCAGATGAAACTGCTGCTGCCTTAGCACAAATCAAAACAGTGGCACCAAACTGTATTACCAGTAAAGGTATTTGTCACTGCTACAGTAAAAAATAAATGCCAATTTCATTTAAAGTCTTTGATGAAATGCTAAACATTTGTTTTAATTTTTTTAATACTACTACTCTGTGATTAAATAGATGCATAGCTACAGAAAGTACTTCTAAGTACAATGTTCATCTTGAGGAACATCACGTGCAATTTTTTATTTTTGAGCTGAATTAACAGCTTTCTTCATAGGACATCATTTTTACTTGTAAGAAAAGCTAACAGATAAATTACAGGTATTCACTGTTTAATTTTTTGGTAGAGGGGACCTGTGCTCACTGAAGAGAGACAGAGAGAGAGAGAGAGAGAGAAA